ACACACATATATTTATACATATATATATACACACACATATAAACATACATTTTTTTATTATTGAGTTGTATGAGGTCCTTATATATTTTGGATATTAGCCCCTTATCAGATACATCATTTGCAAATATTTCTCCCCAATCTATAGGTTGCCTTTCATTTGTGTTGCTTCCTTTGCTGTGCAGAAGCATTTTAGTCTGTGGTTTTGGTGTCACATCCAAAAAATCCCTGACAAGACCAACGTCAAGAGGCTTTGCCCCTGTTTTCTTCTAGGAGTGTTATGATTTTAAGGTCTCACATTCTAGTTTAATCATTTTTTAGTTAATTTTGGTGGGTGGTGTAAGATACAGTTTTAGTTTCATTCTTTTCTAATGAAATCTTAAATCTTCCCAGCTCCATTTATTGAAGAGAGTGTCTTTCTCTACTGAGTACTCTTGGCTCCCTCATCAAATACTTGTTCACCATATATGGACGGGCTATTTCTAGGCCCTCAATTCTCTTCCATTGGCCTGCATGTCTGTTTGTTATTGTTATTGTTATTGCCAGTACAAAAGTCTTGATTATTGTAGCCTTGTAACATACAGGAAGTGCGATGCCACCTACTTTGTTCTTTCTCAGGATTGCTTTAGCTACTGCTTCTGACTATTTGGTCAATGACATTGAATATCTTTTTAACATGTTTATTTGTCATCTGTATATCCTCCCCAGTGAAATGTTCTATCTTGTATTTTGCTCATTACCAATTTGATTTTTAAAGAACTGGTGAGTATTGAGGTTTTTCACATAGACTAGATAATGGCTGAATCTTTTGTCAGGTGTGCACTTGCAAACATTTCCTTCAGTCTGTAGCTTGTCTTCTCATCTTCTTCATTTGGGCTCCTGCAGAGAAGTTTTTAATTTTGATGAAGTTCAATTTGTCAAATTTTCCTTTTAAGGATTGTGCTTTTGGTGTCAAGTATAAGAAAGGACTTTTTGCTTAGCCTTAGGTCATGAAGATTTTTCTCCTAATCTTTTATCCTGAAAGTGTCATTTTACATTTAAGTATGTGATCCATTTTGAATTCGTTTTCGTATGAAGTAGTTGAGGGTCTTTTTTTAGGGCTGGGAGTGGGGAGGGCTATGGATGTCCAGTTGCTCTTAGAACATTTGTTGAAAAGGCTATCCTTCTTCCACTGAATTGTTTTGCAATCAAAAAATATCAGTTGAGCATATTTGTGTGTCCGTTTCCGGGTTATTTTGCTCCATTGATCTATGTGTCTATGCCTTCACCAGTGCCATGCTGTCTTGATCACTGCATTCATTTGCTAGGATTGTCTAACCAGGTATTACAGACTGGGTGGCTCAAAACAGAAATGTACTTTTCACAGCTACAAGGTTTGTAGCCTTGTGAAGGCTACAATCCCAAGATCAAGGTGTTGGCAGGGTTGGTTTCTTCTGAGGGCCCCCCTCTTTGACTTGTAGATGGCTATCTTTTCCCTAAGTCTTCACATGGTCTTCCCTCTGTGCTTGTCTGTACCCTAATCTCTTCCTACAGGGACACCAGCGTCTTGAATTAGCCCCTCCATCCCCATACGACCTCTTTTTACCTTAATTACCTCTTTAAAGGCTCTATTTCCAAATATGGTCACATTCTGAGGTAGTGAGGATTGGGACATCCATATAAGAATTTGGAGGGGGGGCAAAGTGCATCCCATAACAAGTACTATAGGCATATATAGTAAACCTTAATATTGGGTAAAGTGATTCTTCTCACTTTTAGTTTAAGAGGTTGATCTCAAGTTTTAATTTAAAAAATGTTTTTTCAATCAACGGTTAACTAGAGTGGCAGAGTAGCCACTTCATTTCAAGTCAGAAGACAGGGTTTAAGATCTGTGTTACCTCTAAATTGCAGCTTTTTTGTATGCAAGTCAAAGGATAGCAACACCTGCTTTATAAGGTCAGGTAAACACATCTATTGAAATGTAAGGACAAAGTTAAGTTTTCCAATTTCAAGTCTTTTTGCTACTTTACTCTTGTCAAGATTGCTTCAGCTCTTCTGGACTTTGTGCCTTTCCACATACATTTTACAATAAGCTTGCCTATGCCCACTACAAATCTTGCTGAAATTTCAATAGGAATTGCATTAAACCTGTGGAAGTGACATCTTACTATGTTGTTTTCCATGAATATGGAAAATTTATTAGTTGAGTCCATGGAATATGTTGACTCCATGAATATGGTATGCATCTCTATTTATTTAGGTCTTCTTTGATTTCTTTCAACAGCATTTTCATATACAGATACCATATATGTTTTAAGTTTATACCAAAGTACTTCATTTTCTTTGGAATGACCCTAAGTATACCGTACTTTTAACTTCAGTTTTCACAAGTCATTGTTACCATATAGGAATGCAATAGATTTTTTGGTGTTGATCTTTATCTGGTGCATGTATACATGTATCTCCATGCTAAACTCATTTATATGCTCCAGGGTCGTTTTTTTTTAATTTTTGGCTTGTTTGGGTTGTTTTTTTAATTTATAATAGATTTCTTGGTATTATCTATTACCAATATAGACAACAGTATCATCTGAAAATAAAGTTTTCTCTTTTCCTTTCCAATTTGAATGCCTTTTATTTTTCTTGCCTTATTTCGGTGGCAAGAACATCCAGGATTATACTGAGTAAGAGTAGTGAGAACAGACCTCCTTGCCTTGTTAGCAATCTTGGGGATAAACAGTCTCTCACATTTGTTAATATGGTGATTATGTTGACTTTTTAAAAAAATTTATAAAACATTTTATTTTTAGAGAAAAGAGAAGGGAGGGAGAAAGACAGGGAGAGAAACATTCATGTGTGAGAGACATCAACTGGTTGCACACCCCCATCCAGAGACCTGGCCTGTACCCCAGGTATGTGCCCTGACTGGGAATCAAACCAGCGACCTCTCAGTTCACAGGCCAGCATTCGGTTCACTGAGCCACACCAGCCGGGAACGATTATGTTGATTTTTGAATGCTAAACCAGGTCATACATATCTGTAAGAAACCTCACTTGGTCACGGTGTATAACTATTTTTTTAGACATTGTTGGGTTCAGACAAAAAAATTAGGACTCTTTACTTCATACCCCGCGTTGTTTCCTCTCTACCACAGCTGCTCTTCACATGATGACTGAGTTCAGATCCTGTAAAAGCCCTTTATAGTTCTTTCTTCCCGAAATGTCATGGTTCCTGATGGTGGGTGTTCTCTCTTGCAGCAACAAGCTAATACTCTTAAATTTCCTTGATTAAAACAGGTGTCTTCCTGATGGTCCTTGGCTGGAAGGTGTTATCACTGAGAACTCTTGCACTCCTAGACCTGAATTTCAGAAATGCTGCACCGTTGGCAAGATCACTAGTTTACCAGATTGCTTGTATATGTTAGTGGCTGTTATTCCTACTGTCAACTTAAAAAATAAACACAGAATATCTCAAGAGATTACAAATTTTTTATTCACATCACAAACTGGATTATATATTACAAATTCTGATCAAAGTAATTACATTACATGTATTTTCAGTAGTACCACAAATTATCTGTACCTGAAGATAAAATCAAATAGTAAACTGGTAAGCATACACTAAAATTTACTCAAGTTTAAAATATCATTTTGTTCAGAAAATTCACATACATGTTTTTCTGGTTGTGAAGTGGAAGGGGCTCATATATAGCTACATATAATTTTCATTTAATGAACACATGAAACACTCCCCGTGCTCTGAATGAATTATCAGAAGGCTACAAAATCTGGTAACTTTTTTTACATGGTGCATGAAACAGCATACTTGTTTTGTAGAATAAAATACAGTACTTATGGTTCTCCTAATGCCCCCTCTCCAGGTCACTGTGAGAGCTACTGCTAAGCAGATAGCTGCTTGGCTGTAATGTGTTCCTGCATGATCTCTGCACTGGGCTGGGCTGGGGGACAGACAGCAAGGTCGGGGGGAGCACCTTCTGAGCTCGTTCTGAGAATACAGAAGCAGAAATTTTGCCTTAGAAAAAATTATACTTGCCTTCATTTCACTGGTTCTGTACAAAAGCTATTAATTGGTCTGGTTGACTTATGCACCATGATTAGACTCTCACTCTGATTTGGAGCAGCTTAAAATAGCATCACATACTCTGTTGATTCTTGCTCAGTTGGGACAGAAGCACAGATTTGGGGAAAGCAGGTGAAAATGAGTACTTTCAATTATCCTTTATTTTCCTGATATAGCCATCCATCAGGATAGACAGCTAAATGGACCTGAAGTGGTACAGGTGGTAAATCCACCTGAAAGTCCAAGGTCTCTGGACATTCAGCAGAGTCGAGCCATTCAGCAGCACAGGAGGAAGGAGGGCTGCATCTGTCTCAGAGGCAAGCCTGGCCCTCAGAGTCTGGGGAAAGGCTTTCATTCCCCAAAGTTAGGGTAGGACCCAAGTGCTAAGGCCTGGGAAACCGGAAGGCAGTCAAGAAAGGTGTTCCAATGGCCAGTGGTCATTTAGGGGAGGACTGGAACCTCTGACAATTCAGCAGGATATCTCAGATTTTGACTATTTCAAGACTTTGGACTCCAGAGACAGATAAAAGAGAAATTACCTAGACAGGGTAGATAAGATTCCCTAGCGAACAGTGGAAGCCCCGTTTTAAAATAGACAGAAATATAGAGTGTATACACTTGGAGATGCTGAGTACAAGCAAAGGGTCCTCGCTAAGCATGGTGGAGTCTGACTGGAACACTGTTATTTTATTACCTGATACATTTTTTCAACCATGAAAATAAAATTAGGTTATAAAATTTAGGATTTGGGTATGATTTCCATGGGCTGATTTTCTAACAAAGAGAAAGATGATTACAATGGCCAGGCATTTGGGGACAAATTTACTGGTAACCCATAAAGCTTCCTAAAGTTCTAATTATGTTATTTATGAAAAGACCCAATGATTGTAACATTGAAAGCTCATATTAAGAGAGGAAAGTCATTGGTTATTTATCATTTAAAAGTTTTCACTGTGCCCTCACTGTGGCTCAGTGGGTTAGGCATTGTCCTGCAACAGGAAGATTGCTGGTTTGATTCCCAGTCAGGGCACATGCCTGGGCTGCAGGTTCGATCCCTAGTCGGGGGCCCTCGAGAGGCAACTGATTAATGTTTCTCTTGCACATCAATGATTCTCTCCCTGTCTTACTCCCTCCCTACCTCCCTCTTTAAAATAAAATTTTTAAAAAAGTTTTCATTGTTTTTAAAATTTGGAGTGGGGTGCTGTGGGTTACCTTCCCCAACTGTGTTTTGAGAAAACTCTGTAAGCCTGCCCCCTCAGCCCTTCTGGTTTCCGTTTCTGACACTCCCATTATTCTCTATTTTTATTTACTTATTTATTTATTTGCCAGGAAAATCTTTTATCTCTTTTTAAAAATATTTTTAAATTTATTTTTAGAGAGAGGAGAAGGGAAGGAAAAAGAGCGGGAGAGAAACATCAGTGTGCGGCTGCCTCCCATGCGCCCCCCACTGGGGACCTGGCCTGCAACCCAGGCATGTGCCCTGACTGGGAATCGAACTGGCGACCCTTTGCTTCACAGGCCCACACTCAATCCACTGAACTACACCGGCCATGGCTTATTTCTTAATTACTATGAAGGAAGAGGGTAGAGAAAAATCTGCCAGTCTGGCTCAGAAAGTCGTCCTAAGGAACCTAAGCTTCCTTTCCTGGACCTGAAGGGAAAAAGAAGGTGGAGGTGTTTGTCGTGCCTGCACACGCCTTTCCTCCTCACTTGGAACATATAATTAAAGCGACTCATGAAGAGATGGGGAAGACGGGGCCATCCCAGCCTACTCAGGGCTGTATTCTGTAGAAGAAAAGGAAATGAGGGTTCCAGGGTGGGAGGTAAACTAGGGAAGTCTGAGTTCCTGTCCCACTGATATTCAACAGATAAAACCACTAAAACCGATACACACCGTGAGGTGGGGTGGAGAGCAGCTGCATGGTTTTCCATTTATCTTCATTTCGGAGACCTGATGGAGTTGTGGAAGAGGGAGGGAACAGGTAGGCTTACATAGCATCTAACCGGAGAGTACACGGACTCCAAATCAGAAAACACTCAATGTCCGTGAATAGCTCATAGTTCTACCTAACAGATGGCTGAGAGTGAAATGAGGGGAGCAAGTTTTGTGCAGTGACAACCCTTTCAAAATCATGTCTGGTAGCATGGTCTCGTTGAATGATTTATCTGCAAGTTCTATCAGAAGTCAGTGAAAATATCCTCACAATGGCTAGAAATTGAAGCATCACACAAACGTAAGTTCTCCTTGCACTTCATATATGAAAACAGGAAGTGTATGAAAATGGGGGTATCTTTAACAAGGCCAGACACAAGCGCTCACTCTTACGGGATGCTGCCCTGTGCTTTCAGTCCATTCCCCAGCAGGATGCTCACACCACGAGCCTGGCAGCATCTTCTCTTGATGCCACCGGAAGTCTGATCGCTTCGATATGAACTCAGACGCCACAACCTGAAAAGTAGCTCTAAAGTACAAGCTTCAACACAGAGACCAGGAATGGCTTATTCTTCTTAACTAGTGTATCCTTCCTTAACCTCTTGTGGTGAGCCCATCTTCCAGTCCAGACATCACCTAGCATTTTGAAAGCACTTAGAGAACATGCCATATTCTATGAGCTCTTTGAGGAGTAAGCATGTTTCCCTCAAAGGAAAACTGGGGTGCTTACCAAAGAGAGGGAGAAAAGGAGGCAGGCCTCTGTCTCGTTGTCTGCTCTCCATGGTAACCTAGCATTATACCTAGCACACGGAGACTCCTTATTAAATGTTAAATGAGAGGATTAAATCAGTTGGGTTAGGAGTTAGAACTCTTTCTGTGTCTTCCAACTTGTTGTTTTTCTTTGGCTCCTACTTACATTTGACAAATAGATATATACCTAAACACTTAGCCCCGTTTTTCAGGCGGGGGATTTCACCGTTCTGGGGTCTGCTGTCTCAGTATAACTGGATGACCTCGTCCCACTCGGAGACAGGCCAGACTCCATTGGGCTGCACATTGGAGGGAGAGCGCTTCCAGTCCCAGGTCTTCACGGGAATCTTCCAGGTCTTCCCATAGTTGGCTTCAATGTATTCGATGGTTTCACAGGGCACACGGACCTTCATGTCTACAAACTCGGTCCAGCACAGTGCAAACTTGGGAAACAGGTACCTGGCAAAACAGAGCAATGTGGAGAGGGGTTAGGCTTCCACCTGGACGTGTTCGCTGAGGAGCCCAGCTGGCACTGGCCTCTTGGCTGAAGGACAGTCCTCCCACTGAGCAGCTTGGGGGAGAGATACAGTGGACACTTTATTGCTGCGGGATGGCTGCCGTCCCTTTTCTCTTCTAATGTTAACAGCACCCCGGCTCCCCTCCCCACCCCCAGGCCCTGTGCTCAGGAGTGCGGAGCCTGGCCCGAGGCTGCCCAGGTGGGTCAAAAAGACCCAGGCCTACCCAGTAAATGACAGCCCTCTGTTCTGTGCTGGTGTTTTCTGAAAAATGTTTCTTCTCTTCACAACATGGGAAGAACTTTCGGGAATGAGAATCGGTTTTGGGATCTCTGTTGGAACGCTTGGAGAAAGAAGTGCTCTTTTACTGAGGTTTCTAGGCTGGCAGAATAGAAGCTGAGCACAGTTGGTGGCCACTTTTGTTCTTAGTCAAAGCGAAAGGCTGCCCACAGATGGAAGAAAATGACAGTTCAGAAAACCCTGGGGCAGTGCTTGGGTATGGCTGCGGCCATTCCTTAACCAATCCCAGTCCACCAACCCATATATAAATATTCCATTTGACTATGTTCCTAATACTTGCAATTCTTTTTTTTTAAAGATTTTTAAAATTTATTTTCAGAGAGAGGGGAAGGGAGCGAGAAAGAGAGGGAGAGAAACATTGATGTTTCAGAGAAACAGCAACTGTTGCCTCTCGCACACCCCCAACTGGAGACCTGGCCCGCAACCCAGGCATGTGCCCAGGAGGAACTGAACCTGCAACCTTTTGGTTCCTAGGCCAGTGCTCAATCCCCTGAGCCACACCAGCCAGGGCGAATACTTGCAATTCTTAATACACGGCAGGAAGCCCGTGTAGCAGTGAGAAAGGAAATAATACCCTTCCAGTCAGCCAGAGCATCTGAACCAACCCTGGCACATGACACTCTCCAATAAGAGCACCACAAATGCGGGTACCTTTGTGATGGGTCATGTTAATTTCTGTGTCCCAGATGGTTTTTGATAACTTCTCAGCTTAGAGAGCTGAAGAAATCCCTAGGGTCTGCTAGGGTATTTCTCAGACTTCATTCCTAGCTCATACTGTAGTGAGAATTTCATACCACAACTCATGGGCATGGTTGGTAACCCCGTGACGTGGCTTTTTGAGTAAATCTTCACACTCCATCCCCTCCTCAAATGCAGAAACACACATCCAATGCTTGTGGGCACTGCTTCCATAACTCTTAAAGGACAGCTTCTTCCTGCTCTGCCGTTTATTTTACCACCTGTCCTTTTAAAATCTCTGTTCTTAGCCCCAAGCTTTTTTCACAACATGGGATGAGGTTTCAGTCATGAGATATGTAGTGGCAATAGCGGATCACGGAAATTTCAAATATCAGAGGATTAAAGAAATAAGAAGGAATGGGGGAAAAAAGGCAGATGTCAAAATGTAATCGTATTGTGGAAACGAGATCTAACTGGGGCGTTCTCCAAGGAAAGGTCAGTTCTCACGTATTCTGCTTTTGAATATCATGTTTTATCACCAGATGAACATAAATGAAATATACATGAAAATGACAGGCTGACCAAATTCTAAAGAAAGCAGCAAGTCCCTTCTACCCAAACCAATGGGGTGCCGGTGGTTAACAGACAATCCCAGCTGCTTTGAAAAGACGGCCACTGCAAATCTCGTAGCCGAGGAGGAAACAAGAGACAGCACCACCGAACCACTGCGGGTCCTTTTACTCCGCACACTCACACTCACAGAACTGCCTGTTCTGTCACCAGACACAGCCATCCATCACCAGCCTCCACCCGCCCCAACCACATGTGGATTGGCAGATGTCCACCTGCCCCAACCTATCAGGCTGACACACTGAGGTCGAAACAAAAATCATGGTCTACCTAGTAACACAGGTCTGGAAACTTCTCTCTTAAATATTAGCTCCACAGTTTTAGCAAAAAGCTGAAGGGAAACTCATAGATCCAGGATGGATAGGATGAATAAGAATACCACAGATTTTACAAAAGCAATGTTTTGAACCATAAAAGGTTTATGAACAAAAGCAGAACATTTAAAATACATAAACAATGTTAAAATAACTCAAAGGCAGTTTAACTCAACTGTTAATTTTGTTCCTCGATAGAAACATCCCTAAACTTTTTCTTCTCACCAAGTAATTTTTAATTCATTCAGCCAAAAGAAAATTCCCACTTCCTAGAAGAAAAGATAAATAAACCATAAAATATAAAAACTGATGGTAAAAAGGGATTGTGGAGAGGGTGGGGGGCAGATTAGTGACACAGAATGCCACATGCCATATACTCTGTCCAGGTTACCAGTAAACAATGGCTAATAATACACCATGGGTCTAAAATGTAACCTTGGCTTTTAAAGCTCTGATAAGATCGAAAATGTGAACAGGCTTAAATTCAGACAAAGCAACCAACCCTAAATCAGAATAAAATTCAAGAGGTCTTATCACATGCACGCACGTAAAAATCCTTCCATTCATTTTCTACTTCATACAGCTTTTACTTTGTTACTTTTGCACAGAACAGTAGTTAGAATTAAGAGTTAGCCGGAGTAGACTGTTTTTTACCGCACAGACATCCCTCAAATCTGGGAAAACCACTTACTGGTGGCTGGTGGAGTAATTTCATCAGCTATGTAAAACCTATAAACATAACTGCTAAATGAAAAACACTTCTTTATTATTATTAGTTAGCTAGGCTAAGTGAGCTACAGGCATCAATTACAACAGGATCTGACCTTTTAAACAAGTCTGCAGAGCCATTTTGTTAAACGAGAATGTAAAACAACACGAACAGTTGATCCGCCTCACCAATTTTGTCTCTTCTTTTAACTTCAAATTTCTTTTCCTTGTGTTATACCAGTGCCTTAAACCCTCTGGCTTAATAGAAGAAAGAAGAGCATGCATTCTTTTGCTCTTTTCTAACTTTAATAGAAAAGTGGCTAAAGTTTTATCGTTAAATATGATTGCTCACTCTAAGTTTTTGGTACGTTCCATTTATCAGCTTAAAGGAATTCTACATCCCTTTTATTCCAAGTCTACTAAAATATAAAATAACCCTCTCTTTCTAATTAGGAAATTTATCAAAAGTTTTTAATGTCAACTACTGACTATTAAACTCTGCTATGCGAGCTCTGTAGGACAAAGCAAGTGGTGATCTGTAGCACACGAGAAAGAAGAAAAAGTTTTGCCATCTATGAGGAGATAACAAAGCTTGTGTGGACAGTTACAGTGTAACACTTCAACACACACTCAAACTGACTATATCAAAAGCTATTTATTTAAGGCATGCACAAAACTTTCAAGGCCAGAGGACAAAGCCTTAGGACATTTTTATTTCCACTGCATAAATTCCAAAAAACGAGATCTCTAGCTCACCCACAATCAGCTAGACTCCAGGTATGTACACTCTGTCTCACACAAATTTTATAGGATTTCTCTTTGGGAATAATAATAATAATAATAATAGGAGATTAAATTGTGATTTAAGATTACATTCTAAATACATCAGTCTTCTCTTATTTTGACCCAAGATTGCCCAATCTGTCCAATCAGATTATCAGTTTATCACAGCAGTTAGATCTGGCTGGATCAATTCACGGCTCTGGTCCGGTAAGTGTTTCAACTTGAGATACGAGGCTCTTTTCTCTTAGCGTTGGTTTTCTGAGCCAGAAAATATTTTTGTTTTCTTTTACCCTTTCAGTCACCTTTTTGAGGTGTAATTCCCACGTGATGAAACGCACCCATTTTCCCTTCCGACGAACGCACAGGCACGTGACCACTACAACAGCCACCCGACAGCACATTCGGCCCCCTGGCCTCCGAAAGCTCCCGCGCCCTTCGCCAGTCACGCAGTCACCCAGTCACCCACCCTGGCCCGGGCAGGGTCTTCTCACATTCCTGGTTTGTTTTGCCTGTGCCACAATTTCAAATAAATACAGGTACTCATATGTACTCTTCTTATCTGACTTCTTTCCCACTAGCAAAATGTTCTGGAGAGTCATCCCTGTTACTGCATCTCTCAGTAGTTGGTTCCTCTCTTGCCGGGCAGTGGCCCATTGTTTGAATGACCACAGTGTGTTTACCTGGTCACCAGAAGATGGATGTTTGGACTGTGTCCACTGTGTTGCCACTTTCGACTGCTACACTGGCGTACGAGTCTCACCGTGAAAATGTTTTTACATCACAAAATACTACCTTATAGAATACCTTACAGAATTACACTAAAAGACAAAATATACAACGGTCTTAATATAATTTACTTCCCATAAATAAAAGATCTGTTTATTCATTCGGAGGTAATTTCTTTAAAAAACAAAGCTTGCTATGTAAATAACTGCCATTTCTCTATGCTGTATAAGTACACAATTACCACATAACATTCAAAAGTTCCCCCCAAATGACTCAATTTTGCACCCTCTACTCACTAAGGTTTGGGGGTATAATTAAGGAGACCTAAGATATAATCTTTTTTTCTTCCTCACAGATATAATCTTTATGTTGTAAAATATGAGGCATAAACAGAGTAGAAAATGTGAGATCATTTTTAGAAAAGCCAATGTTTTAAATATACACATTTGCTCAAATATGCCTTTTTAACTTCATAGCTCTAAGTACTACAAAGACAAACAAACGTGTTTTTTAAAGCTAAAACAATGGGAGCACAGTATTTATGAAGCTGAGAGAACCTATGAGTGGGGGTTCACCAACCAACTCTGGTCTTTAACCTCCTGTGAGGCAGAGTGCATGAAAACAACTGGGGTGACTGGACTTGATGGCTTTGATTCCCCAGAGGTGCTGGGCGGGCAGGATCCAGTTATCCACCCGGTGTCCCCCCACCGCTGAGCCAAGCAGGCAGACTGCACTCGGGAGGCCGGACTTTAGTTCTGAGCAGGGCTTGGCGCTCACCTCGGCCTGACAGGTTGAGCAGGTCTGA